TTTAGCATCAGGCATGGGAGAGTCGGCTCCCTCGGGAGGAGCACCGAAGTTCATGTCAATACCGAGAAGCACGCTCATAACCTGGAGGAAGCGAGGGTCGCGAATCTCCTCTCCAACACTGTTGGGGTCCTTCTGGATCTTCTGCAGCTTGGCCATGAACTCGGAGTCACCGAGCAGGGAGGCGGTCTTGGGGTTGTTGGCGAGCTTCTGGAACAGCTGGGGGTCGTTGAACATGCCACCGAGACCACCGGTTGGGTCACCAGTAACACCGTCTGCGGTAGCCTCCGCGTTGATAGCACGCTGAGTCGCATCGAGACCAGACTTGGCCTGGGCGTTACCAGGCTCGATCTTCAAAGCCTCACTGTAGGCATCGTATGCAGCCACTACCGTCTGTTAGCAACATCACTGCGCATATTGTTCGAAATAACGTACAGAGATCTCCGAGACCACGGTAGGCAGCTCCCTTACGGGCGTGACCCTTGGACCAGTCTGGCTTGATCTCGATGGCCTTCTCGGCATCCTCCAAAGCCTTCTGGTATTCGTTCTGAGCGGAGTAGACAGCGGAGCGGTTGGAGTAGAGGATATGGTTCTGAGGTTCGATAGCAAGAGCCTCAGTGAATTTCTCGCTGCGATGTATCAGTCTTGGTCCACGGAGTCAAATGTCAGAGGTGGGGTATAGCGCGTACATAGCAGTAGGATAGTCCTTAGCAGAGAAGGCCTTGTTGCCCTCTGCCTTCAAAGCGTCAGCCATGATTAAAGTATGGTATATGAAAATGAAGTGATATGGTCAAAGGAGCAAGACCAGAACTGAAGTTGAGCTTTGTCGCCCGCAGCTTCTCGAAATTTCCAAGGTAGTTGCAGCCTCACCATTCAGGCCACCACGCTGACACTGAAGCTATCGGGGCTAAACCCTTTCGGGCCAAAGTCATTCCCCGCTGCGAAAAAGTCCAAAAAACATCGTTTGTGATTCATTCGTGACTCAACTTCGACCATGCTGCTCTAACCAACCATGCGCCCTTGAACATGAGATCTCAGCCCTCTCGCATGAACTTCGACTTTCCTTGATCTCTCCGCATCTTCAACAATGGCTTCCGCGGGGTCCCAAGTGGCCGAGCTTGCCTCCAAGCTCTACGATGCATGCGTGAGCGAGTTCGACCCGGACCACCTCTTCTACCAGAACGATTTCCTCAATCTCAAAGTGATCCCGAAGAATGACGTAGCATTGCTGTTGCAATGCACCCAGAGCTTGGTCGATCAAAATCTCTTCCGACTCCTCCAGAAAGATGGAAAATTGACCTGGAGGCTGATTGACCGCGAGGACGCTGAAAAGTAGGCATTACATGGTATTACCCTGGATCATCGACCTCGGCTAACCCAGTCTCCCTTCCAGACTCCGCAACCTCTCTCCCGACGAGGCCATGGTCTACAATGTCATTCACTCGACAGGACGGACAGGCATTTGGGTGCGACACATCGGAAGCCGCACGAACTTGCACAAGTCAATCCTCGACCGCTGTCTCAAATCCCTCGAGGGCAAAAACTACATCAAATCTCTGCACAATGTCAAATATCCCAGCCGGAAGATGTACATGCTGGCCGGCCTCGCCCCAAGCGAGGAGGTTACAGGCGGAGCGTGGTTTACAGACGGTGTGCTAGATGCCAACTTCATTAACACTGTCGCCGGCTTCATTGAATTCACAGTCAGTAAATTGAGTTGGTACGAAGTGCCTGCCTCGGACAGCGGCCGGAACAAGCGCATCAAAACCGCCTCCGGAAAGGCCGACGTCAAGTCCGAAGAAAAGACTTACCTCCCCTATCCGCACGGCTACAAGGGATACCCAAACGTGCAGACGATCACCGCCGCTGTGAACAGCAGTGGCATCACTCCTGTGCGCCTGGGAGATGAGAGCGTCGTCCAATTGATGGAGATGCTCTGTTACGACAACAAGCTCGTCTCCCTAGGAGCCGGCGAATTTTACCGATCCCTCCACAGCCCCAACGTCGTACAGGCCAACCAAAAACGCAAACCACCCAGCGAAGGCGACGACCTCGCTATTGCCAATAAGCATCTGGTAAAGAACGGTATGACCGAAGCACCATGCGGCCAGTGCCCAGTCTTCCGACTCTGCTCGCCCGGCGGCGCAGTCAGCCCAGAGACCTGCGAGTACTTCGACCCCTGGCTGAGCAACGGGCTCGGCTTCTGAGTGGCCATTTTCCACGAATATCTGATTTCGGCGCACTGAATGTTCCTGTGTGCCAACACGTTTGCATGTAAGAAAAAAACGGGGATATGTGTGCATAGCGCTGGCGTTTTCGACTTGATTTGGTTAGGCACTGGCTTTCCCTAGACTGGGGGCTTGTTGCACATTGCTTGGACGTACGGGAGGGATCTTGCGAAGGATTTCTCCTTCTTGGTCCCGTCACTTGGGGATGGGATGGGGTTACAGGATTACAGCCAGATTTGTCCATATTAGACAATACGAATTTGGTTCTGTTCAACAGATCATAAAATAGTAAAATTAGCACAGTAAAGTGGCACAAAGGTAGAGGTATAGATTCCGAAGCAGTTGACTCCCGGCCTAGCCTAACAACATGAAATTCCGTCAAACGCCGTGGGTATATCAACCGTCATGCAAATCATAGAAAAACAAAAGTACGAATAGAATAGATTACTTGCCCAGAGTGCGCCTGCACTCATCACAGTACCAGGTCCCAACGGGCTCACGAGTAAGCCCAACACACTTCCAATGGAACCACTCGTAGGGACATTCATCATTGTCACAAGCGACCATGTCCCCATGGCTAACCGTACGGCAGGTACAGTAGACCTTCGAATCCTCATTTCCCTCATCCTCCTCATCCTCCTCCAAATCGTCATCGACCGCACCGCCATCGCTCTTATCAGAGTCGGAGGTATCCGCACTGCTAAGCATAGAATCATCATCCTCCTCGCCCTCGCCATTAGGAGACTTCTTCGACGCTTTGATGCGACCACTTGCGCTGGAAGAGCGCTTGAGCGGCTTGCCGTGGTGAGATTTGAGTTTCTTGACTTGGTGATGTGGCGCGACCTTCTTTGTCAGTGCCTTCTTGACGCCGACGCTGGAGCGTGGGCCGACACTGCCTGCACGGCTACCAGCAGGCGTGCCGGGCTTCGGTGTGCCAGGACCAAGAGATGATTGGCGCAGGTTTGATGAGGCAGTTGGGAGCGTGTTGAGGGATGGGTTTAGTCTGCGGCGCTTACTGTCCACTGCTCCGGCGGAGGACTCGCGCTGTCGTTGCTGGAGGTGGACGACTGCGGGGGCTGGTGTAGCTGGTGCCGAGCTGCGCGCCGCGGTTTGACCTGGTACGGTGATAGATCCGGGAGTACGGGGCGCTGTGGATTGGCTGAGGCGCTGGGCAGCTGCTAGAATAGGATTCGCATTTCCAGAGGTCGGGTTGAGAGGTGCGGAGTAGGCGGGGGTTTCGGAAGGAGTAGAGTCAGGGAAGAAGACCTTGGGCGGGTTGCGGTATTTGTTCTTCGAATCGAAAAGAGATGGGAGAGGAGGGTCGTTGGAGAGGAGGCCTTCATTGACCAGGTCGCGAATGCGCACGTCCAGCCGTTTGATCTGGCGATCGAGAAGAACGCATGCTTTCTCGCTGAGCTGGATCTTCTCGGTCTGCAGTTCGAAGGATTGGTCCATATTCTCCAGGATAGTCTTGCCGTATTGCTCTTCCTTCGGATTTGGCGCTAGACTGCCGTTCATCTTGATGAATTTCTGGATGCTTCCGTCGCGCGAGTTGATAGTGGCGCGACATTCCTGCATGGCCTTATCCTTGGCCTGAATCTCCTCCATCAAATGGTTGATCTCAGCTGGAAGATTCGCCACATCGTGAACGAACTGCTCCAGCACGGTTGCACAGTCCTCCGCACCGTGTGCCATTTTTGATGCGGTCGCAGGGCGGGTTGGGGTTGGCTGGTGTCTGGGCGCTGGAGACTCGTGTGGTGGTCAACGACGTTCCGAATCACCCCTAGCTTCGGTACGAGTCTTGATCCGTCAGATATTTGATGAACAAATGGATGCTTGGGGTTCGGTCGCGGTGATAACGTTCATCGCACGGGGACAAATTGGCCGAAGTTCGATCCTCGCTGACTCAATACTGACTCAGCCCCAAGAAACGACTTGACTAAGCTACATCAATAAAATGCAACACGCTAGTCTTATCAGGTGTACCCCTCCCCGTTTAGATGACCCCCATCGTCTTATCAAAAAAAAACCTGGCATTGTCAATATGATTATGGATCCTGGTAATCTGGCTGCCATTAATTGCGCTATAATGAAGCTTGCTACTTGGCCGCCCAATCAACATGACCATTTTTTGCGTGATGCTCCTAGGAATACTTTGTCTACTCGATCCCACGATTTCCTAATCAGGCTTTGGAAGACTACCGGAGCTAGGGATATTGGATCAGTCTACTTGTAGATCTCAAAAATGTCACGACACAGATGCTAACAGAGAAAGATCTTTAGAATGTGGAGAATGAGCACCGCTTCTCTGCCAATAGGCGTATGTATCCGGACTTCGATACGCAATCGTAATCTCTTTTATGAGTCTCCAAAAACTAAGAGACAAAACTAACTCCATAAGGCAATTCACCGGTCCTCGATTTACACAACACAAATTCGATGCGTAGGATAAATCAAATTAAACATGTGAGCAGTCTTGAACTTCTAGAAATATCCAACCCAAGATCTTCTCTCGCCAAGCCACAGCTTCCCTCCATAGTAGACTTTCGTCACTCTCACCAAGAAAGCGGAATCTGATACTTTTCCCAATGCTCAGGCGTATCAGCATCCCTGAACTTCTCAATCCCACCAGCAACCCCATTTTCATCCACCTCCCAATCGCCCATCTCAACTCTTTCCGCCCAATTCAATAGCACCTTATGAAGCTGGACGCCATGGGATTCTAAAAACCCATTCCAACCGCAGACTTGATAAAGATCATGAGCACCCCCTAATCTACCTCCCAGTGCTATCTCTCGCGTATCTTCTAGACCCAATGCCAAAGGGAAGAAGTAGCCTAGACATATCTCCGAAATCCTGTGCTCTGGTTTTACTGATTTCTTCCGTGTATAGACCAGCGGGGATATCAACGTTGTAATATGGACGGCTCCAAGGTGACAAATTAGATCCATCGGCTCGGAATAGGAGAAACGGCATTTCTTCATCTTCTCCGTCCGACTTATCCTGCCTTGTAGCACAAAAGGCTGCAAAGGGCTGAGACTTTAATTCATCGAAAGACTGTATCCGAATTCCTGGGGCAATATAGCGGAAATGAATCTCACGTGGCGGAAGAGCGGATAGAAATGACCTGACGAAAGACTTGTTGGGGGTGAAGGCTTTATCAAGTATAGATTGTGGATAGGTGATATCTATTTTGTCCGATTGAACTGGTAGAACTGGTAGGCGATGTTCAATTGCATCAAGTAGCCGATTGAATATAGTGATTGACTTGTCGATATCTCGCTGCGTATATTGGTAATACTCCCATGGGAAGAATTGGTCAAGCGGGAATTTTACTTCCGTGAATATCTGCACCTTTCCCTCATCAATCATCTCTAGGTAGGCCCCAAGTATCTGCTGGAGTGGCATCCAACTACCGGGATTACCAATAACATGTCCGCTAAACTGCCAGTGAGGGATAAAGGCAGCTAGCTCTGTGTCTTGGTCGAATCTAACGCGAGAGTTAGTACTTAATCAAATTCCTTTCAAAGGGAAAAAAAGGACTTACACAATGCCAACCTCCTCATCACATGTGTAACAACCCGTCGCTTGATACAGGTACACGAAGCGGTCACCCTCGGTATCAAGCATGGAGTACTGGAGCATATGGTGGCTGGTTTGTAATCCCACTAGGAAATAGAAAAGATTGAACCCGGGATCCTTCTCTGACCATGCCCTTGAGGGGGTTGATCTAGCTGAACGGAGGAACTCAGCGAGGTTAGGGGTTAAGCGTGACTCGAGGTCAACTGGGGAATACTCTTCCCACCAAGTCGTGGATGGAAGCGAAGCAATATCATGACCGGCACCAGCCCATGCATGCTGCAGGATTCGATTGTGAAGCTCAGCAGATCGCCGAGGATCGAAAGTCATCTCGGCAAAAAAGAGCGATTGCGTTTTTGTTCAGGGGGAAAATAATTTGGGTGGGGGCGCTAGCATCCGTTCAGGGCCAAACCCCGAGACGAGATGCATCATTAAGCGTGGCGTTAGGACTACAGCGACGGTTCATAAGTTTTAATCCCCCTTTGGCCCCCATATATAGCCGTGTCACGGGTGCGGCTTAAAGTCTTGGCAAACCTTAAAGAGAGAACAGAGTCAATGAACAGATGAATGAGATTTAGGTAACGATAGGACTTGTGAGCTATGGCTAGGCAGCTCTGAATTGCCTGTCAAATCTTTCATGCTATAGCTATTGTTCTTTTTGCGTCTACGATAGTATAAAGTCACACTCAACGGGGCCATTGAGCTAGCTAAGCCCGGAGTTGTCCCTCTATCATTCCTTGTACACAAGATATGATGCCCGGTTTCTTGGGAATATTGTCAAAGTTATCTAATATTAAACGAATATCGTGTGTTGCTCTAAGGTCTTAATCTGTTAGCCCGCGTTCTCCAATTTGTATTGTTTTCACATTCTAGTAAGCTGTCGAGTCTCTATATATTACCTACTAGACAATCATCCTGGTCATACACTTTCTTCTCTTATCACTTTCGCCTACTCCCGTATTAGGAAAGCATAAGCTTGAAATAACCGCGAGGTTGTTGCTAGTCTTCAAACTGACAATCAGGTCCGCTTTCATTCGTACTTTTCAAGATGCTTTCGAGATACCACAAAACACTGCTCAATAGTTACTGTAAAAGGGGGTTGAGGCTGTTTTAAAGTTATCCTGCTCTTAATATTAACTCATTGTAGCCCACGTTGTAATTTACGGTGGAATTAGCCTATGGCCGCAAATTAGACACTCTTCAGCAGCTTTTTCTAACTTGGCCCTTATTTTCCTTGTGCTTTTGTAAAGTTTTGTGAAGATACTAGGGGATGCTCATCTAATGTAATTTGATCGATTCTTAATTCTAACACAATAGGCGAGTCGCTTATAGCGGGTGTGCTTCGGGTTAGTGAACATTTCTATATTTCGAATAGCTCCAAAACTGGTCTCAAATGCGGATTCAAAACAATTTTGAAAGCTAACGTCATAAAATTAATAACTAATAATCAACAAAAGAGCGTGTATAAGCGACGAGCTATCTGAGGCGATCCGGAAAAGCCGAGATCCCCAGTTCGGGGAATTCCGTCCCCGCACTGCAGAAACATAAGAACCGTGCGTCTGGCCTTGATTCTTCACTCAAGCATCATGTCTCTCGATAACCCCCTGACAGTTCTCTACAAAGAGATCAATGGCAGCAAAATCACAACAGATATATATCTCCCGTCCACATCTTCCGCATCACCACAGAAATACCCAGTGGGTGAGTACCGTGTACACCAACACCAACATAAGGACTCCCACTAAAATAAAGTAGTAATCGACATTCATGGCGGCGCCTTCATGCTCGGTCATTCACGCATGGTCTCCCTCCCTCAAGTGAAAGACTGTCTCGATCGGGGCTGGATCGTGCTAGTTCCAAACCACCGGCTGTGTCCGGGAGTGAATCTCCTCGAGGGTCCAATGCAGGATATACGCGATTTGTTGACCTGGATCCATGACGGACATTTGAACAAAGTGCTCTGCAGTCATGGGGCATACAGCGCTGATATTGACAATATCGCTGCCTTCGGGACATCGTCTGGCGGGACACTAGCTTTAGGTCTGGTATGTTACTTTATACTTACGTACATTACACTAAAAGAAACAACAAAGCTAACCAAAATACAGGGCTTTAATATCCCCAGACCAGTAAAAGCAATCCTGTCCCTCTACGGCGCAGTCCACTTCACAGACCCATTCTGGAAAACACCTCTCCCCCATGTCGCCTCAAAACTCCCCCCAAACCTGGACCCAGGCTTTCTCTCCCAAACCTACCAGGAAATCCCAATCCCAACAGATAGCTCTGTTTCCCTAGAAGGCCAATCCGAAGCAGAAGGCAGCAAAGGTCCTAATTTCTCTCGACCGCGCGACGCTTTCGCTTTCACGCAGATTGCAAATGGAACCGTTATGGACGCTATCTACCCAGACGGTAAAACTACAGATCCAGATATGGAGCGAATTGATCCGGTGAAGAACGTCAGTGCCGAGTTCCCGCCTACGTGGATTGTGCATGGACTTGAGGATACAATGGTTCCTATCGGGCTTAGTCGTGAATTATATGGACGGTTGAGGGAGGCTGGGGTGCAGTGTGGGATGACTGAGGTTCCAGGAGAGGAACATACTTTTGCGATGCTTATGAAGGTTGGGTCGAGGACTTGGTGGTTGCAAAGGGAGGGATTTGATTTCTTGGAGGGAATTATTGGGGAGGGGCCTCAAACAGCCCCCAACTAGATAAAACAAACATCTACAGACCTAGAGCTACTGCGAAAGAGCTTGATGAGAACCATTGGACCCGCTCGTATACGATACATCGTTGTTTAAAAGTTTCCTCTAAACTGAAGGCTTACATCAAGCGGGAGGTCTGCGAAAAAAGAAAAGCTTCGTTGAGCATCAGAACACTTAGTATACCAAAATATAGCACAAACAGAATTCAGACTCCTAAACCGGCTCATTAACCCGGCCCATTCCGAATAATCATTACAGCTCATCCCTCTTCTCAGAAAATGGATATCCAACAAGTGTCCAAGCTTCCCTGACCTTATCCACATGCTGGCCAGCATTCTCAATTGTGAGATCGGCAAAGTCCTTGAATATGGCATCTTGCCGAAGCTTACCGCTACTCAGAGCGCGGTACCAAATAGGACCAGCACCTTCCCAAGCATATCCTCCAATCATAGTAGCAGCAAGGAAGAAAGCGCGATTTGGGATGCCAGAGTTGATATGAACACCGCCCTGGTCGTTACTGTAAGGGAGTTTCTTGAAATCCTTCCAGTGCGCTGGCTGAGGATCCTTCCCCACTTGAGCATCGTTATAAGCTGTTCCAGGATTCTTCATATCGCGGAGAGCCCTGCCATTGACACCTGCAGCCCAGATTCCCTCTCCAATAAGCCAGTTGGCTTGGTCGGCAGTCTGCGGGTTGCTTTCACCCCATTGTTTAACCATAGTACCAAAGGCATCCGCAAGAGACTCATTGAGAGCACCAGTCTGGTATCGGTATGGAAGTGGACTTGTATACTGCACCACTCCATGGGTAAACTCATGACCGATGACATCGAGCTCATCTGTGAAGCCATTAAAGATAACGCCGTCTCCGTCACCAAAGACTAACTGCTTGCCGTCAAAGTAGGCGTTATAGAGGTCCCCAGCATGTACGAAGCCGTCGAGACTTATCCCCTTATTATCAAATGAATTTTGCTGGAAGAAATTGAAGTAGAAGTCATAAGTCTTCCCAAGACCAATATAACACTCATTTGCATTGTTGGTTGGATCCTCCGCCGCGGAGAGAGGTTTAGCACCTTCCTTAAGCAGGATGCTATCACGGGGAGGAGGATTATCCCGTGAATTCTGCGCATCGTATACTGTACGATTTAAGTGACGTACACGCCCTGCCGCTATTCGATGTTCAGTACGTTGTGCGAGTGTGTGGCGAGCTGCCTCGCGTTGTTGTTCTGTCACAGCATTGCGGGCAATTGATTCAAGAATATAAGGTGGAATAATACCTTGGGAGGGTTGTTGCTGCTGCACCGCCGCGATACTCTGCCCTTGAGCTTCACGAACATCCTGAAGTTGCTTTGTTTTTTCAATAGTGGATTGGCACCGATTGATAATGGGCTGTGGCGCCAATCCTTTTTCAATGATGCCTTCTAGGACATATTGTGGTACAATGGCACATAAAGGAGCCATGTTCAGGCCTGGTAAAGTGAATATCCTTTGTTTTGTTTGAAGAATAAAGAAACAGGATAGTGAAGTTCGGGTTATCACTTCTTGAAATGATGCTAGATGAGATGTCCAGAATTCTCCGTTACTCAAGAATACCATCCCTTAAATATACGAGGATGCACATATTTATTAGACACCTAGCATGACCATCTGACCCTTTTCCTTGCGTCATCGCCAAGCCATTTCATGTCAAATGATCTAGATAAATTAGTGCCTCTTGGAGAGGGTTCCACTATATCGCTGTTCTTTCGCTAGACTGTTCTATGTTCTATGAGCAGCAACGCAATATCCCTAGCATTTCAGCCACCACTTGCCTCTCAGCTTCGGAGGAAGCATCCCATTTAGTATATTCATGAACTGGCGCATGTATACTTTTACATGTCGCTTGGTATGCCTTCTGCAGCTGGGATGGCAAGGAGGCTATCCAGCACCGTGCGGCCTTTAGTTTGCAGATTTAGCCATTATAGCATATATAGAACAGACTAGAACACTCATTCTTTGTACAAGAGCGCTCGATTATGCTTTAATGGAATATCAAAGGATAACATTAGCGTATTAACCATAGTTTGAAGGGGCTCGATGGGCCTGAAACTAGCTCTGAACTCTATCCCCGGAAATAGTTGGGCAAAGATAATAAGCATACTGATTACTAACCCATATGAGAGGATAATTAAGGTTTGACGGAGCCGGTAGCTGGTAGAACCCTAATTAAGATTGAGTTGTGCGGATCATGCTGCATGCGGCCAGGTTGGTCAATTGAATAGGCTGTCGTGTGACCTCCCACAAAAGGTGGTACGTTGAGACTTCCTTACGGAGATCATGTGAATCTTTGCTGGGGGTTTTCATTGAAAGAAAATGGGTCGTCGGACAACTGTTTGTTGGTGCTCCAAAGAATCGACTTCCAAGGTTTGAAGCAAAACGGCCGGGAACAGCCACTCAGTCTTATACTACTCAGTAACGGTGCACAGCTCCTTCAGCGCTAAAACCCCAGTATCAACGACAATCTATTTGCGTGCAAGTTCGGAAACTTGCTTTTATACTTTCATTCCGAACTTGGACACTTGGGCGTTCGTCTTATGAAATTATAAGTCTATCTTTAAAAACACTCTCATTATTGCGTACTCTTTCCTTCGTCGAATTTGCATACCAAGCAAACTAGTCCATTTTCGGGGTTTTCCTGGCCCACTGCTGGTAGTTGTTTGCTGATATTTGTGGATACCAGATTTACGTAGTCGAGATATCGTACAAAGTAAATCTTTAATTGATGAAGTTTGTAGACGTAGTTGTTTCTCGGTATTGGTAGAGGGGGGTTCTTGGTGTGAAATTCCGGCTTGATTCGAAGATAGATATCAAGACTTGAAAGCACCTACACCGAAGCTATTTGAATAGTCTCTGATTTCAAAGCCTTGATCCGTGCGGACAGGTAGGATGGCTTCGAGGAAGTCTAATTTGTCGATATGGTTGATCGCATTCCGCATTTTCTGTTTAACCATCCGGCCGTAAGAATGCTTTTACAACGCGAAACAGCCGATATCGAGCGGCTGTAAAAGGTGAGACGAATGTGCAGGCATACAAATTGGTATAATATGGTTTATCTTTCCCCCCAAAAACTTTGGTGTTAAATAACTTCGTAGCTGTCGAGTATCAAAAGCCGAAACCTTCCCTTCGTGTGAGAAATAGTCGACAGAATAGACAGGGGCTGGTTTCATCGTCTCCATCTGACGGCCGGGCGTGTGCTCGCGGCTTTCCGAAACGGATTTACGGCGTGTGGCTGTCGACGAAGAGCGGGCTTCCTGTTGAAACTGGCGCGCAGCCCATGCGTACACATTTTTCGGGTCAGGGTGCTGAGGCGTTTTAGTGTGGGCGAACCCTCCACATCCCCGGTGTCTTCGGCAGGCCGTGAGCGTTGAGGAGTATGAAGTCCGTCTCGGTATCTGCTGCTGGTAACGGCTTGTCTTTGGTCTTCTTGCATCGCCTCTCGACGCCCCTCCATGACCATGCAACTAACTCCTGGATGAGAAGCTGGTGTTTTGGCTCGTAGAGATTCTTCTCGATATTATGGAGACCAGGGAAACCCATCACACGCAAGCACACATTTAGATTTAGCTTAGGGAAGTATAACCATTTCGCAATCGTGAAGCTTTTCTAGCGTTTTTCCGAAGGGTTTTGGGGCTGGTGAAGAGCAAAGGATAACGATTCAGCAATGTCATCCAGCAGTGCTATAGTCGAGCTAGCGGCAAGGAATTCTAGCGTACGGGTGACCCGATGTCGTCAATTGAGACGAATATGCCACCGTATCGAACGAGGATGGCAAGCGGCGAGTGCGACGGGTGGATGTCCGCGGGCGCGCGGGTTTCATGGGAAAGTTGGTGTGTCGAGCCTTGCTGGCGCCAGGATAATTGTCCGGATTCGTGGTAACTTATCGAGGCAGTCTAAGGAGCTTTTGGAGCGACGCAAAGGCCTATTCTCCTGCTCCGTGCACTGTTTCTTCATTAAATTAAAGATATCCATAATTTCTACACATAACAGCAATGCTACATTTTAAAATTACAGCTTACAGTACTGTACACCAAGTTAAATCTACTGATAGAAAGTAATGCAGGTCATATCTCGTTATTCATGGCATCTCAGAGTAAGACCTAAACCAAAGCGAGCGCCGCGGAACAGGCGCACCACGTCAGTGATTTTCCTTGGTTGATGTTGATGAGATGCCGAGTCATACTTCGCTGGATGGACATGAATGGAATGTCCATGCGAATGTTGTCGATTCTTATAGCTTGTGCCGGGGTTGCGGATCTTGACCGGTTCAAGATAAGTTTGTCGGCGTCCACTGTGCTGGATTTTCCAGGTGGAGGTTGTCGGTGTTGGATCGATATCGATGTACGAGTACTTCGATATCTTCTTCTTCTCTTCCTCTTCTCTTCTCCTTCTCTCCTTCTCTCATCTCACAGTTATCATCCCCGCCCAACCGCGGCGTGAAACCGGTTCACCCGCGGCTCAGGGCTTTTTTTTTTCTTTTTCTTTTTTTCCAAAATCAAAAACGCAGTGAAGTCAAAAGACGTCAAGCGCAAGATAGATCAACACAAGTTCCAGGTCGAAACCCAGACACCGGAGTAACCATCTACCGGCGAACAACAATACCCTGGCGACGAGCAGCATTGCGAGCACGGCAGTACTCCTCATCACTCTCATACTCAGACTCAGAGCAGCTATCATCAGAAGACTCAGTAAGATAACCACAGCGGGAACCACCACAGTCAAGCTTGACACGGTCACCCTTGCGGGTAATACCGTAGCGCTCACAGCGGCACTGGACGGGAGGGTCACTCATAGACGAGAGCGACGAGGGCGAAGTAGAACCCGACGAGCGAGAAGACAGACTGGAGCCGGCAGAGCTGGGAGGCGAGTTGGAGTAGGAGTACTCATCGGACAGACGGGAGCCGGCGAAGCGGCGGGTCAAGTCGTCGACGGTGGGGGCGAAGTCGGCCTCGCGAAGCTGGCGGGAAGCGTAGGGCTTTGACGGCTTGGGGTGTTGGATGCGCGAGGGGGACAGGGCGCGACCGGTGGCGATGTTGGCGCTGCGGGACTTGCGGGTGCTGGTGCTGGAGGACTTGCCGCCGGGGACATCGAGGATGTTGAGCTTGCGGCCGGTGGTGGGCTCGACGGTGTACTCCACGGCGGGGTCGTGCGAGACGTGGTAGCCGTCCATGATGTAGTAGTACCAGTAGCGGCCTCCGAGTTGCAGCATTGAGGTCTGGAAGCGGAACTTGCCGACCCAGGCGCCGGGCTTGTCCTCTGCGGAGAGTGGGATCTGGCGCTGGTAGTTATCCCAGGAGCCGACCAAGTGGACGGTCTTGACGTTGGACGAGGTCCGGAGGGAAAACTTGAGTTGAACGGCGGCCATGATGAACAGGTAAGATAAAATAAGACAAAAATAAGGTCGTAGACGGTGAAAGAGTATCGTATAGTTGGAACAACAGAAACTACCAGAGTTCAGTTGTGTTAATAGTGACTCTTTCGGGAACCGGTCCACGAAATGAAAAATAATCGAGCGAGATTAAATTAGGCAGTGTTTGTTGCGATAGAAACTGAAGGAACAAGTCGACCGGCGACAAGCTGTAATCCTGTATATAAGTCAAGTCGAAAGATCCGAAGCAAGGCAGAATCCCAAAGAGCACAGCTCGTTTGAGGAGTAAAGTTGAAAGGAAGAATTAAGATAGTATAGATAGAAAGAAAAAATGATCGGGCAACCAGTGCCAGGATCGATCGAATATGCAGCACTAACACAACAAACGCTCGCTGAAGAAAAGAAGAAAAAGAAATCCGCCTAGGGTGGCTATGGCATCTTTTATGGGATTCGATTTGATCAGCACTGTAGAATCCGAATTGTCGTGCAGACCTCACTGGGCGGTTATTGAGCGATGTTGGTTGGCCCGACGCGGTGGTGCGCAGTGATGGGATGCTTTCATGGTGGTGGCCAATGATCGCCCATCAATTCGCGCTGGGGCTCGGACCGGGTGAGGGGAGAGTTTTGTGAAGAGAGTCAGCCTCATCAGACTAAATAAGAGGTCGAGACTCGAAGTGCGCAGTGCGCAGTGTGTGTGCAGGTGGATTGCGATGTTGTTGATGTTAGTTGTTGGTTGCGCAGTCACCGCTCAAAGGCAGACAGGCAGACCACCTGGACAGAGAGACACTCGACATCCACACTTGGTAGTCTCGCACTGGTGAGTTTCCCTCTTAATTCTCAGCAGGCCGGTGAAAATGTGCCGAGACCAGAGACGGGAAGACGACAAGCCAGTCAGAAGTCGCAAGTGGGCTGGCTGACGGAGTGACAGCGCATGCAGGTCTTAGAAGCCTCGACATAGAGGGGCATGTCATAGCACAAGTACAAGCACAAGCACAAGTACAAGTACATATGACATCGCACAGATCATTAAATTGACCCGTCTTATCCTGGGTACTTTATAATGTAGGAAAGCGGATAGAGGTACACCGTAAGGGTGACCGGCAGTACTGTAAACAACCCATACTCGACCGGGGATAGTTCCGCTAAATGATTGACTCGTATGATGGATGTTATACTGACAGGGCAAACAAAGTCCCATGTCTAGCGGACATGGCAGTGTTGTTAAGGAGACGGTGGGTTGCCCAAACAAAGAAAATCTCTTAATCGGATGTCAAAATTTCAAACATTTCAGGGAATCCGCCAACAAGAATGTGCCCATCTTTCGCACTTTAATATAATTCATATTCATCTTTCCGCGAATCCAAGCATGTCCGACATACTCGAAGTCGTAAGTAAGCCGCAAAGGCCGCGTGCGCCTCCCGGCTAACACTGCCAGGATCCCGACTGCTATGACGCTCGGCCTTATAAACCGGGGGATTTTGAATCGTGAGAATATATATCCTCCGATCGAAATAATAAATCTGATCAATTCCAGAGAAACGACTTCCCTCGCATCCACCATCTATCGCGGGGTATTCGAAAATGGGAGACGGTATGTGCTGTGATATCAATCCAGGGGCACCCGCTAACTACGCATAGCTACCAAGTCGTCAAGGAGGGCAGATCCTGGTATATACCATTGGAATCAATGCGACTGAACGAATCTTAACTTAATTCATACAGGTGTCCATCGGATGAACAGCAGTGGGAGAGTTTAGAGGCAGGGTCTGTCTATTTCCCCATACTGGAAACCCAAAACTGACCCCGACAGACATCTGATCGCTATAATCCTAGACTCGCACAGGGAAAATCCACTATTTTATGCACCTGTTGAAAACCCCAAGGTATCTATCTATCGACTATAATCAGATAAACAACCCGCTCACCAATTCAGCATATTCTAGACATCGGAACCGGCCGGGGGAGTTGGGCTGTGTATGCATCCACCCCGTCACTCCATGATATCAAACTAACAAGCACAAAGTGATGCGGCAGATCTGTTCCCAGAAAGTAAGTCCTCAACCCTCCAAAATGACCCTAAGCTAACATGCACAGCAATCGTCCGAGGCGTAGACCTCTTCCCCCCACCAGGAGAGTGGCTCCCCCCAAACTGCATAATGGAAGTAGACGACATCCTCCAAGAATGGACGTGGCGCGATCCATTCGACCTAATCCACCTGCGACACATGCTAGGCTCATTCACACCCGAGGAATGGGATATCGTATACAAGCACTGCTACGAGTAAGTAACCATCCATCCCCCGTTTTCCCATTAAAGCAATTCACCAATGGAACAAAACCGAAAAAGCAACCTAAAACCCGGCTCTTGGATCGAACACCTAGAAATGGACCCGCGAATAAGCTGCAGCGACAACAGCCTCCCAAAAGATGCCTACACACCCAACTTCAGCGAACGCGTCCTCGAGGCGGCCGAGAACTGGAATCACCCCCTCAACACAGTATGCACAATGCGACAAAGTCTTGAAAAGGCCGGGTTCGTGGATATCCACGAAAAGCGCTATCGATGTCCGATAGGCCCGTGGGCGCGTGATGCGACGCTGAAAGAGGCTGGACGGTTGCATTATCATCATTGGGCTACGGGGATGGAGGGGTGGGCTATGTTTATGCTTACTAAATGGGGGACGCCGAAGCCTTGGACTAAAGAGGAGGTGCAGGTTCTTGTTGCTAAGGTGAGGGCGGAGTTGAAGGATCCTCGTTTGCATATGTTTCAAAATACGTGAGTGTTTGGTTTCTTTGAAGTATTGGTGATGGTGCGATGGTGGGCTGACCTTTTGGTAGGAGGAGGGTTTGGGCTAGGAAGCCGACTGTTGAGGAGATGGGAGGGATTCCGGTTAAGGAGGAGGAGGATGTTGCCTTTATTAAGAGTGAGGAGGTTGAGGGGTGATGCTGGTATAGTTCGGGTCTGATATCAGGGTATAGGAACACAAAATGGACAAATCGGACACGGACTGGAGTCTATAGATTATCAAATTGAAGATACATTGGCAACTACATCAAGATGTGCAGGAAATGTGATCCAACTATGTATGGCAGAACTAAGTTTCAAATGCGAACCCTCCCAGACGCCGCAGAAACAAGCCAGAATATGCGCATTTTTCGCAGATCATTAAAATACAAATAAGAAACCCAAGAATCACCGCACTGACACCCCGGACCGATTGGTAAACATCCGGGCGGCAATGTTCATGGAGGCCAGCTCTTGGAACAGAAGCTTGGCGGCGTAGGGAATGTGCACTTGCGAGATGCGGTGCTTATTGTTGCACAGGCGACACTCGAATAGACCCTTTTTCAGTTTACTAAAAGATGTTAGTAATGTATAAACGGATAGAAAGGGCTAGGCAAACTTACGCAACAGGAGTCATCAGACCGCAGTCGTCGCAAATGTGCACACGGAACGGATCCGAGACATCGAACAGACGCTCTTTCAAGAATGCACTGGCACCGTGAGCGATCATACAATCGCGCTCCATCTCTCCGAAACGGAGACCACCATCACGAGCACGACCCTCGACAGGCTGGCGGGTAAGAATCTGGGTAGGACCACGGGCACGGGCGTGGATCTTGTCGTCGACCATATGGCGCAGACGCTGGTAGTAGGTGGGTCCTAGGAAGACCTGGGCGACCATCTTGCGACCAGTGTGTCCGTTGTACATGACCTCGAATCCACGAGACTGGTAGCCGTGTTCACGCAGCAAACGGGAAACTGAGTCGACAGTGACATCGGTGAAAGGAGTAGCATCACCCTCGAAACCACGCAGAGCCGAGACCTTGGACAATTGACACTCGATCAAATGGGCAATGGTCATTCGAGAAGGAATAGCGTGGGGATTGATAATCAGGTCGGGCACCACACCTTCACGAGTGAAGGGCATGTCCTCCTGACGATAAGTAATACCAATGGTACCCTTCTGACCGTGACGAGAGGCGAACTTGTCACCGATCTGGGGAATCTTGGTGGTACGCATGCGGACCTTGACGAACTTGAGATCGTCGTTACCCGTCGAGATCAACACCTGGTCAACAATACCATTCTCAGTGCTTCGGAGTGGTGTCGACACGTCAATCTTGGTGTGCGCCTTGGTACGCTGGCCGAGCTCTTCGGCATCAGGGGCCAAGGGAGCAGTCTTTCCAATAATGATATCTTCACCAGAAACACGCACACCGGGTGCAACAATTCCATCGTCATCCAACTTGTCGTAGGTACCCTTGCGCATGCCAATGGTGTCAGTGCGCATGGGCTTCTCGAAGCGCTCAACCACTGAAAGGCCAACCATCTTCTCGGTATCCGTGTAGGTTCGGTAGAACAAACTGCGGAACAAACCACGATCGATACTGCTCTGGTTCATGATGACGGAATCTTCCTGGTTGTATCCGGAGTATGTAGCGATAGCGACAATGGCGTTCTGACCGGCAGGCAATTCACGGAAACGCAGGAACTCCATTGAACGAGTAGTGGCCAGAGGCTTCTGAGGGTAGTAAAGAATGTTCGCCATGGTCTCCATGCGCTGTGCAAAGTTCGTCAAGAAAACACCCATGGCTTGCTTACCCATGGCAGATTGGTATGTGTTACGTGGCGACTGGTTGTGATCGGGGAAAGGAATGATACTGGCGCAAACACCCAAGATCATACTCGGGTGAATCTCACAATGTGTCCAAGTGTGGGCACGCTGGCTGAGAATCGAGCGAACGCGCTTGTTGGGATCGTTGGTCTCGTCCTCGGGCAGAGCATAACCAGCCTGGAGTTGTCGGGAGATCTCGAGATCTTCGGGCGTCATGACAATCATGATAGTCTCCTCTTCTTCAGCATCCACATATTCAACTGCACCAGAGCGAACAAGACCATCCCATCCGAAGTACTGCTCGCGACGTTCCTCTGGATCCATATCGGCAGGTAGGTCCTTATCTTGCTCAAGTTTGCGAATATGCTCCTTGTTGAGGATCAACCCACCAGAGTTCTCACTCTTGGGGTCATTGTCGATAACGAACAGGGGACGGCACACACGACCGGTGTCGGTGAAAATCTTAAATTCACGCTCACGGATGTCACGAATCAAACTGACCTCGTGCGAGATCATGTTTCGTCGGCGAAGGTTCTGCATTGTAGCGACAAGATGCGAAGGGTCTCTGTGAATACCAACCCAGACACCGTTGACAAACACCTTAGTTGCGTTTGGCGTGACCTGAGGTTCGAACTCCTCAAGAACTTCCATATTTCGCTGAATCATGAAATCAATAATGGGCTCACTCGGCGTACCAACAGTGATGTAGCACATGAGGGCCAAGTTCTTGACTAGACCACAAGCTTGACCTTCAGGTGTCTCAGCTGGACAGACCAAACCCCAATGGGTGTTGTGTAGTTGACGTGGTTTGGCAATCTTTCCATCTCTGCCAATGGGTGTGTTGGTACGTCGCAAATGGGACAATGAAGATGCGAAAGTGTAACGACTCAGCACCTGGGACACACCAGCCTTGGCGCTGGCGGCCTTCTTCTGCTCACCCCAGTTACCGGTAGCAAGAGCATACTTCAGACCTCCTGTGAGTGTGGCCGCCTTGATACCAATGTTGAGGTAAATCTCACGGTTGGTCTCGACGCTGCGCTGCACGTAACGCTGAAGGTCACGGGTCACTCGGGTGAAAAGAACACGGAAAAGGTTGGCCAGAAGGGGACCAGCCAAGTCAAGACGCTTCTTTCCGAAGTGATCACGATCATCCACGTCGGTACGACCCAGGGCACACTGAAGAAGTCTGTGCACCATGTATCCCAAGAAAAATGCTTTACGGGTTTCACTGCCCTCGCTTTGCGAAATATGAGGCAGCAATTCCTTCTGCATAATATCACGGGCATACCGCACACGCCGGTCGTGGTTCAGATTCGACTGTGAGGAGCCACGCTTGGCGATAAAGTCAAGGGCCACTTCACGGTCCTGAATAACGAACCCTTCCTCGATACAAGGCTTGAGCATCTCCAGCATCTGAGTATCATTGCGATCGTAGCAAATGTGGTTCAGAATATCCTCGTCGGATACGACGCCCAGCGCACGGAAAACGACGACGATCGGGATATCAGCACGAACGTATGGGAGGGTCGAGCGAATCGTCGGGCCAAATCCACCCTTGGCACTGTCTCCCTTGGCGAAGAGCTTCAAAGAAAGCTGAGAGAGAAGTCGCGAGCCCTTTTCCACAGCACTTCTAATTTCGGCAACGTACGGCGTGGGACTGGGAGGAGCCTTCTTGAAGACCTGGACAATGTTTCCAGCACTGCGTTCCTGTGCGATCAAAACCTTCTCACTGCCGTTAATAACGAAGTAACCACCGGAGTCGTAAGGGCATTCATTCCAGTTGTAAAGAGACGCTTCGCTTAGGTCCTTCAAGATACAGTACTTGGACTTGAGCATAATGGGCATCTTTCCGATGAAAACTGTCTCTTCCTTGCCCGTGTCTCCAGGGAGGTGCTTCTGCTCCCACTGGAGGTATGTGCCGCGGTTCTTTTGATCACCATCGCCTTCGTTCGCATCGTCATCATCCGGGTTGGATGATCGCTCGCGACCTTCCATGATCTTCTTTGTCACCCCGAGGTAGAGGGGGGAGGCGTAGGTGAGGTTTCGGAGACGCGCTTCTTGTGGCAACATGATGGTAGTCGCACCATCGCCTTCTGTGACCGATGGTCGCGAAAGCATGACGGTGCCAAATTTGAGCTCATATCGGCGCACAACGACGGGGTCGACTTCATCTTCGGAGGGGGGGAGAGTTTGATCGAGAACAACCTGTCCTTGTTCCTCCACAAGTTCTTGCATCGTCGAAGAAATGAACTCGTCGAATGAGTCCAGCTGCTGAGACACAAGACCCTTCGAGTCAAAGAACGAAGAGATCACGGTCCAGCAATCTTCGGAGGTGATGCCCTCGTCCGCATCGTCGTAAAACTCCTCCTCGTAAGCTTCATCGTAATCCGCCATGGTGGCGATCAAGGGAGACTTGGTCAGGTCGGAGGCGGATTGGAGAAGGTGTTGTATCTGAAAAACGAACGGAGGCGCGTCGGCCTGGGTGCACGATCCGAAGAATCACCCAACGCGCTGCAAGCCCGCCTGTCGGTGATAGAAGGTAGTATCGGCGGGGGTCAGAAAGTCGGAGGCAGATGCGTGGTGGAGCCTGACAACCTGAAAGGGATGGAAAAGAAACTCCCCGGCAATGATGAGATGAAGGGACTGATCTCCAGACTCTTGATGCTTCTGAGCCCGCTAGGCGGGACGCTAGCCCTATTCGGGTAGTAGTCATGTGATCCAGTTCTCACCGCCTCCGAGTATAAATCCCTTCACGGAATATTATTCAGTCGCATTTATTGTACATGTATTCATTTACACGCCAAGTTATGGATTCTTAGATTCTTTGACTGTATATTACATTTAATGCATGAGAGATTAGCGCTTAAACAAACTGAAGAAGTGTGCTCAGCATATCCTTGAAGTCTTTCTGACCTGGTTCCTCCTCTCCAAGTCCTTCGAGTTGTTCTGCAACAGTTAGTTTTGCTCAAACAAAAATGCATGTATTGCTTACCCTGTAGCGTACTACGGACCAGAGACAAGTCTTCATCGCGGTCCGCAAGTAGTGCGAGGATTTTCTGCTTGGCTCCATCATCCTCGGCAATAAGCCATGCCAAGATGACATCGATAGTCTAGATGGTTAGCAAAGAATGATATGAATATGAAAAAGGACACACCTGTAATGAGAAAAGACCGGCATCGAACCGCCTCGACAGCCATTCACCAGCCATGAGTTCTTGCTCTTCCTTGTCAAAAGTTCTGCGCTCTTTCGCGATGGCCTGTTCAACAGGTGACACGCGCGATGCGTATTCGCGCCTCAGCTTAACCAGCTTTTCAATCTTTCCGT